GAGCTGCTTCATGGAAGAAGAACCTCAGCTTAGCCTGTTAGCCTGTTTGCCTTTGCGCTAGCACTGATGCCATATTACCTTATATGCAATGAGGTAAATATACTTCATTGCATATATGTATTAGCTCTGTGCTAGTGCGACAAACTAGCTAAACTGAGGTCCTCCATCCATATTTTCAGTTACAGGCTGTCGTTTGTACCTTCTCTCTGTCAACGCTCTCTGGTTTCATTTAAAAGAGCCATTCGTCAGATATTGTCCAAGATTAACCTTCAGGGTGGATATGGCTCGCTAGCAGCATCACACCGATGACCTACCCCGTCATCATTTACCCGGAATGCTTTGTGTGTAAATAAAATGGCCCCGTCCGTGTAATATATTATAAAAACTAAACATCCTACAGTATTTTTACAGTCTTAATTTTACAGTTAAAATATATGTTTATTAAATAAAGTCTAATGTTACAACTAAACGTGGATCCCTTTAACATTGATGGAACTTTAATTGCAACGTGTTTGACGTGACAACATTAACTGTCTCACTCTGTGTCCTTTGTTAACCCCTCCACGCTACGTCTCTTATCGGAGTGACAGTCAGGACCTCCTCGGCACCTCCAACTGATTCACAACACTTCATTAAAAGCTGTCAACCAAACAATCTGTCCCCTCTCAGTCTCCTGCAATAGTAATGTGAAGATAACTCACTCTCCCATTCAGTACCACTTGTCCTAATGGGATGCCTGTCTGTGCAAACATCAATCGAGTTAGAGGTACATTAGCTAGGGGGATGACTAAATCATCAGAAAGGATGTGCAGGTGTTTTATGAGAATTTTAAACACAGGAAAGAGAAAAAAAATGTGTGGATTGACAAGCAAAACATTGCATTTTTTGCCTGTATTTATCTGTGTGCACATGAAATAAAGAGCTGATGATTTTGGGTGAAACGGAAAATGCTATTTATATCCCTGAAATATCAAAGCTCCTGGTGAGCCAGCCATACGAGTAAATTATTTATATCACCTTAAAATCTAAAAGAAAGATGATATTCAAGATATTGTCTGAATTTATTCTTAGGCCTGGGCTTTTGTGTGTAATATCTATTCATGAGGAGGATAAGCAGAAGTGATTAGGAGTGTGTATACCCACTACAGAGATGTTTATTGAAGCTCTTCTTTCAGAAATTCACTAACAACAAATAATTAAAAAAGTGTCAGGCAGCGTTTGGAATTTTTTCTTCATCATTATGTTTTGTGGAAGCAATCATAAACAGGTGTTTGATCACTGGACCAACTGCATCCTTATAGTGGCGATGCAAATATGTGTTTCTGCTTCGTCACGTTTTGACTTAAACACTTTAACACACCCAATCAGACACACGTTTGTAGTTTTGATTTGACATTTGTTGTGAACTAAAAGTACAAAAAAAGTTGAATCAGTTAAAAATAAATCTTCCAAGAAATTTAACTTTTTACTGCAAAATAAATGCTAAATTCTAGAGTCCCTTTGTGGAGGTTCAGTCTCGCTCATATGAATGCCACAAGCTTTGATTATAATGCTACGCTTTCTTTACTTTGGTAGTCAAAACTCGAATTGTGGGAAATGTGAATACATTTGCAGATTTACAATTTTTGTAATCCAAATCCCAGCATGGT